TGGCCTGCTGTGTTCATCCAGCTCTACACCTTGTTATCACTGGCTTATATATGTAGGGTTTGGTGTCTATCGTATTGATGCAGTTGCAGAAAAGAAAGTAGTTGTTATGGAGCTTTATGGAATATGTACAGGTGTGCACCTGGGCACTGATATCTTTATGAGTGCTAACAAAGAATTAACTCATCTTTCTTCTTCACAAAGATGCTGACAGTTCTGCTACATATTATCAGCATCTGTGGTGGGCTCAATTTGCAGTACTTCTAGGTCTTCCTTTACTTGTTCATTTTAAGATGAATTAGATTGATTACTGTGTTACTGAAGGCAAATTACTTTTACCTGCTATTTCCTTTGCAAAGGCTCAAAGCTATATTTTTTGTGGGGCCTTGTGATCAAGTAGAAACTATCTTCTTGGAAACACTGTATCTAAGATGCAATAGAAGACTGGAGGAAAGGAAAGACTGGAACCAATCTAAATGATAAAGTTTAATAAAACCAAAAGTGAAATACTGCAAATGCTCAAAATCTGAAATTAAAACAGAATGTGCTAGAGAAACTTAGCAGGTCGGACAACACCTGTGGAGAGAGTCACAGGGATAACATTTCAAGTCCAACATGACACTTCATCAGACCAAATGAAAAGCACATTTGGACTTGAAACATTAAACCTGTTACTCTCTACACAGATGTTGCCAAACTTTATGGCTTATTTACAAGGGTTGGAGGGTTTAAGCTATAGAGGGAAGCTGAATAGGCTGGGGCTATTTTCCCTGGAGCGTGAGAGGCTGAGGGGTGAACTTGTAGAAGTTTATATCATTTGGGGCATAAATATGGTGAATAGTCAAGATCTTTTCCCCGGGGTAGCGGAGTCCAAAACTAAAGGCCATAGGTTTATGAGACCTAAGGGGCAAATTTTTCACACAGAGGTTCGTGTGTGTGTATGGGATCAGCCGCCAGAGGTGTTGGAGGAGGGCTGATACAAATACAACATTTAAAAGATAGCTGGATGGGTATATGAATAGGAAGGGGTTGGAAGAATATGGGCCAAACGTGGGCAAATGGGAACAGATTAATTTAGAATATCCGGCATGAATGAGATGGACCGAAGGGTCGGTTTCCATGCTATATATCTCGATCACTCTATAATGCTATAACCTGCTCAGTACTCCAACATTTTCTCTTTTTATTAATGGAATTTAAAACATGACTTAGTGTATTGCTTGTAACATGACATCTTTCTCTCTCCTGAAATCATATGCCCAAAAAAATGGACACCTGAGGTTGCACAACACTTTTACACCCTGCACCAGCCATCATCAAGATTCTGGACTGCTGACAGAACCTCATAGAACACACACTTAATCATCACAAAAATACAGAAACAAAATTAGAGAACTTTCATAATTATTAGTAAGCTCAATATGCACTGTCTGCAACCTAATTAAATAAAATCTCAAAATATTAGCTTACCACAGAATTTAGAGGGAAGGGAACTCCAATTAAAGCAGCCATCAGTGGTGCTATATCAGCCTGTGCAATGCAAAAGAGAAACAATTAGCTGCAACATTGAGGACAGCAGAAGTGATAAAGTAATATAAACTTACATACTCTGTTAAGTCTAATAATTAGAAGATCCAGTTGTTGAGACCTTCACTTTTTCTAATATTTGTCATTTTGGTTTAGAGCTGTTAACAAAAGCCTTAGGTGACCTTTGAGGTGTGAGCAGTGTGTTCTTTTTTAAAAGAAGGAGAACAAACTCATATTTGTTTAGAAGGTCAGGCCTGAAAGTTAATTCAACGTTGATTCTCATTCAAAGAACCCTGTAGATGCTTCGGTTCTGGAGAGGCATTATGCTCAAACAATGGAAGATGGTTGAATGTTAATGGAGGTCTCAGAGGGAAGCTGGTACCCAGAGAATGTTGGAAAAAAGACAAAGAAAACAAAGTTTGCAGAGTTTTGAACTGTCTGTTATTATCAGAAGGATTGTAGCTGCCAATGCTACAGGATGGAGGCTCAATGCTCCCTGGCTATCCTCCCAAAATCAATTTCTGGAAAGTTCGGAGAATGGAATCTCAGTTTTAAGAATTAAGTGAATATTCCTTAGAGCATACTGGAAGCCATTTGCATTTAACAGTGTCTTCAGAAGCCAAGCAAGATACAATCTCATGTATCTGTGATTTTACAGATGGTGGAGACCGCTTAAGTGAACCAGCCAGTTATAGCTCATTTGTTTGCTTTGAGATATTCCTTAACTGTGTCTGTTTGTCTGTCTGACTTTGTGTCAGTGGGTGCTAGAATCAAAGAGGATTGGGAATAAATCACTCACATTAATTATCTCATTTAACTTTACTCTGCTAAAACTACTACATTATTAATAAATCATTAATTTTTTGGCTTAATTTATAAATACGGTGTCTGCTATTCAAAAAGTCTGGTATTGGTTATCCAAAACTTTGATTAGGAGCCAAGAGGTGGGGTGTCAATTTTGATAGTCATTGGAAGTTTTAATTTTACTCTGTTGTGAATAGCAGGAATAGGGAGGCTACCTTGATTTGGCTGTCTGTCATCATGTCGCAACACAGCTAAACAATGATGATGGCTGAAATTGATATTGCCGTATGGAAGGATAATTGGGTAACGAAAATTGACAGATCATGAATGTTTTCCAATGTGTCCTTCGTTTACACCACTATGAACCAATAATCATTAGCTATATGGATTTTGTCCATTGACATTTCTTCCCTTCCTCAGAAACTCGTTTTCACTTCAATGGTGGCCTTCCTCAGATTGGAATAATTTAGGTGGCATTCATGGTTGTGAATCTATACTGACATTTGCGTAAAATCCAGTACTGTCAAGCCATTTATGTACCTGGCAACAAGTGCAGCATCTATGTTGAGTTCAGAGCACTTATTTGCATAGTGTTTGTCCCTAAAGAATGGCCCATAAAACCAGTGATGTCAGCATCTTGGCTAGGGATTCAAAATCACATACAAAAGAGGAGACAATAGGGAAGTTATGAAGAACTTTAATCATTCAAACACTGTTATATTCATAAGAGACCAGTATTTTGAAATATAGCATCTAAACAGAAGCTGAATACTGCAGAAAACAGAAACATGTTGCTGAAGCTTTTGCATTCATTAGGACAATGCAAGAATGACAAACAAACAATCACAACAGTTTACAATGCAGGAGAAAATAAAAATCTAATCCAATTGGTCAAAGGGTTGCAACAGGAAACTACAGGATCCCCAAACTTGTGTAACTTTTAAAAAAAAAAAATGAATTCATGGGACATGGGCATCACTGACTGGGCAGCATTTATTGTTTAATCTATTGTTGCCCAAGAGAAGGTGTTAGTGAACTGCCTTCTTGAATAGCTGCACTCCATTTGATGTACGTACGCATGGTGGGGAGGGAGTTGCAAGATTTTGACCCAGTAAGACTGATAGAAGGGTGATATATTTCCGATGGAACGAGTGACATATTTCCAAGTCAGGATGGTTAGGGCTTGGAGGGGAACTTGCATATGGTTGTGTTCCCATGAATCTGCTGCCTTTGTCCTTCTCAAATGGTAGTGGCTGTGCATCTGGAAGGTCCTCTTTATGGAGCCTGGATGAATTTCTGCAGTGCATCTTGAAGATGGTACACTCTGCTGCTACTAAGCATTAATGGTATAGGGAATGAATGAGGGAGTTCAAATGTTTAGGATTTCTGATTTTCAAAATAGGATATCTTTTTCTTAAGCCAATTGTTCTAAAAGAAAAAATTCATAATTTAGCTTGTGCCATCTGCATAATAAGAATATTGTGAATTTTAATCATTTCAGCATTGGTGCTGATGCCATCAGTTGCATGGATCCGTGGGTCTGGATTTTCCCCCCCTACACCTGTCTGCCTCTGTATCCTCCTTCAAGGTGCTCCTTAAAGCAGACCTTTTTGACCATGTTGCATTGAAACATAAATTTTTGGTCATCTAACAACATTAACATTGACTTATAAACAAATAAAGCACTGAACCTCCAATGTCTTATTAGGTTAAAGGTGCTGTTAAAAGACATGTTGTTGCCTTTACTCTGCTTCTGAAAGTTTAGAGTTCTGCCCAGTTTAATTTTAAAGGGAGCCTGGTGAAGGTTTTCGGCAGAGTTTGGCATGGGCTAGGCGAAAGTGAGGAGGATCGCCAATCAGATTGGCTCAGCAGATCCCCATTCAACAAACTGGCCAACACATTTATGACATATTGGAAGTAGGCATGGGGCTCATTTAACATCATATGGAATTCATTTAAATAGCAATAAACATATGATTTACAGCAGTAATGTGACACGCATCCAACCCGTCCTTATAAAATAGTTATTCCAGGTTAGCAAGATGGACAGTGATAAGCAAACCAACATTTAAAGATAGATAGGAAAGTGAAGTGGACGTAAAAGATCAGCTACAATTCGATTATGGTAGAGCAGGTTTGAGGTGCAGATAGTCTAATCCTGCTCCACTTTATGTTAACAAGATGGTATCTTTGGACTTGAAACCTTGGAGCTTAAAATGTGAGAATAGTTCAGGTGTCAGTTTTCTTCTCACAATAAGGCTTAGAATACAATGTTCAACTTTGAGCAAGATAAGGATTTTACCTGGTTTACATCTAATCGCCTCCAGTCATTTAGTTTCCATTCTGAAACAAATATCAAGAACAAATTTTAAAATGCAAGCATAATGATTTCTCAATACCTCTCACTCCCTGGGCAAAGAAAACAAAAATCACATGTTAGCATGTGATTGGTGGATGGTGTTGGAAATGGGCTTGGAAAAAGACTACTCCTCCAACTCATTTCCACCCTGGTAAAGAATGTATATCCCAGTGACTACCAGCAAGTCAGTGGCTATGTATAGTATAGACAGGATGATGGATTGTCACATCAGAATACAGTCACACCATTTTGCTCCCCTCAGTTTCACTTACAAGGTCAATGATGAATAGGAGAAGCAAGCTGAAGCATGCATCTATCATACTTGTACAAGGTAAGATTACCTTGATTTTTCCGTTTTAAGCAAGCCATTCAATGCTTCAGTAAGTAGTGGAGAGTGGGTTAAAGATTTTTTCACAAAAGCAATGTTTTTCTGTACAACAACCTTTGGATCTTCCTCTGTACCCTGTTTTCCCCAGTGAGGAAGAGCAAGAGGAGTAGAGGGACCTGGGAAGAGTCCTGATGCACAGCGGGCAAATGTGTCAGGAGAGGTGTCATTCAGCCAAAAGTTCATCCTGCATGTAATTAATTGTCCCAAATTTCTGAGATGTAAAGCACCACAAAGCAGGTTTCCCCAGGAAATGTTAAATGACTTGTGCAGGAGACCTTCAAACTGGACCTTGCAGCATCGTCTTGCACTCCAACAAAATTGATATTCAATGAATACAAAATAGACTTATTTCGGTCAAATGCGGAGGACTTTTGCAACATCTCACTATGCATGGTGCTTCATGTATGCTATTGATGCCCCACTCAGAACATCTAATTTGTACACTTTCATTTTCCCTGGACGCAAGACCATAAGACATAGAAGCAGAATTAAGCCATTTGACCCATCAAGTCTCCTCTGCCATTCAATCACGGCCGATATGTTTTTCAACCTCTTTCTTCTGCCTTCTCCCCATAACCCTGTGTCCCTACACTAATCAAGAACTCATCTATATCTGTCTTAAATTCACTCAATGATTTGGCCTCTAAAGCCCTCTGTGGCAATGAGTTCCACAGATTTACCACCCTCTGGCTGAAGAAATTCCTCCTCATCTCAGTTCTAAAGGATCATCCCTTCACTCTGAGGCTGCTTCCTCAGTCCTAGTCTCTCCTAGTGGGAACATCTTCTCCACATTCACTATTTCCAGGCCTCTTATTATTCTGTAAGTTTCAATCAGATCCTCCCTCATCCTCCTAAACGCCATCAAGTGCAGACCCAGAGTCCTCACTCGCTCCTTACATGACAAGCCCTTCATCCCCAGGATCATTCCTGTAAATTTCCTCTGAGCCCCCTTCAATGCCACCACTGCTCAAAACTGCTTGCAACATTCTAAATGTGGTCTGATCAGAGCCATTTGCCTTCCTAACTGCCAACTGAAACTGCATGTTAACCTTAAGAGAATCCTGAACAAGGACTCCTAAGTTATTCTGTTCTTCACATTTCTGAAGTCTTTTCCCATTTAGAAAGTAGCCTACACCTCTATTCTTCTTACCAAAGTTCATAATCTCACACTTTCCCACATTGCATCTTGTCTGCCACTTCTTTGTCCACTTTCCCAGCCTGTCCAAGTCCTTCTGCAGCCTCCCAGCTTCCTCAACTTTACCAGTCCCTCCACCTATCTTTGTGCCGTCTGCGATATTTTCAACAATACCCTCAGTTCTTTCATCCACATCACTAACGTATAATGTGAATAGTTGTGTTCCCAACATGGACCTCTGCTGAATTTCACTTGTCACCAGTTGCCTTCCTGAAAATGACCCCTTTATGCCTACTGTCTGCCTTCCGCCAGTCAGCCAATCCTCTATCCATGCTAGTACATTGCCCCTAACACCATGGGCTCTTATCTTATTTCTCACCTTCCTGTACTGCACCTTGTCAAAGGCCTTCGGGAAATAAGAATAGATCACGTCCACTGGCTCTCTTGTCTAACTTATTCATTTGCTCCTGAATGAATTCCACAGATTTGTCAGACATGGCCTCTCCTTGACAAAGCTGTGCTGACTCAGCCCTATTTTACCCTGCACTTCCAAGTACCATGTCCTAAATAATGGACTCTAAAATCTTACAAACGACTGAGGTCAGGCTAACCAGACTATAGTTTCCTGTCTTCTACCTCTCTCCCTTTTTAAACAGGGGTGTTACATCAGCCATTTTCCAGTCCTCTGGGGCCCTACCGGTCTCTGGTGATTCATGAAAGATCCCCACCAATGCCTCTACAGTCTCATCTGCTATCTCCTTCAGAACTCTGGGTGTAGTCCATCTGGTCCTGGTGATTCATTCACCTTCAGAGCTTTCAGTTTCCCCAGCACCGTCTCCTTAGTGATGGCCACAAAGGGAGGAGATGATGTTGCACCTGCAGCCCATTGGCTCCTTTGCCTCAACATACTGTTCTATTTTCTTACCATTTTCCTGGCAAACAGGTTTGTCCTGAATTCTGCATTGGATTTATCAGCCTTATTTTCATCAGTCCTTGTTCAGCTGTCCCTTGCAAGTAGTAACATAATTTTAACATCTTCCCAATCAAACTTCTTCACGGAATTTTTGAGACCTCAGATCTCCTAAAGCCTTCTCGTCTAGAGAAAATAATCTCAGCCAGTTCAACCTTTCCTGCTAAGCATATGATCCAAGTTCTGGTATTATCAAATTTTGGTAAAGGAGGAGACCTCTTCATTGTTGTGAAAATGATTCTGGAGGTCTGGATCCAGAAGTTTCTACTCCAAACGCAGGAATTTCAATTTTCATGGCGAGCAGGGGCTTTTTTTTTGTTTTATTTATTCACAGGTTATGAGCATTGTCCGCTAGGCCAGTATTTATTGCCCATCCCAAACTGCCAAGAGGGCAGTTGAGAACCTACTATATTGCGGTGGATCTAGAATTCCAAATTGCATATCTCTCACTCACTGGGCAGCTGCCCATATAAAACAGAAGCTACCATGCCTGATTTTTAATAGCCAGCATAGAAAAACACCAGTAAATAGATTGGACCTGACAGGAGCAGGGCTAAACTTTGCATAACTGCTGGGATAGATAGGGTATCCTTTTGGACAGTTGAGGTACCTCTTTGGTTACAGTTTCAAGACACCTTTAGGGGAAGTAAAGTGCCTTAGGGGAGTGGTAAAGTTCTCTTGGGGATTGTTAAAAGTAGACACGAAAATGCAAAAAAGCATTAGAATAGTCACATGCAACTGTGAAGTTATCAAGGCAAGTAAAATTCCTGCTCTTTTAAATATTTGACAGCAAACCATTGAAGTATTAAAAAATATTATTGCTTATTGTTTCATCACCTGTTGACGTAAGCAAGAAAACCATCATTTGTGCATTAGTTCTGCATGACTGATTTCAGAACTTTCCCTTATTACACTAGGGCATCTGTTTTACTTTTACAGTGTGATCGATAGCTCCAAGTAGTTCCATAAGTTTGTCAGGTTCCAGAATTAATTTTACCAATTTTATTAACCCAATGAAACTAAATGATTAAAATATTCATAAATTTAATATTTTATACCCTTTCACCTTGTTTCTCCCATAAGAAAAACATCTTGAGTGCTGGTCATGTTTTTTTGATCAAGGTTTCCACAGAAAAAAAAATTGAGCAGACTAGAAAGTGACTAATGTTAGATTTTTTGAAAAGCAAGATTCATTCAAAATAGTTTAATACTCCACAACGGCGACTGCACTTATAAAGGTGACTGAATGACTGTAAACTGCCTCAAAATGTCTTGTGCTTGTGCAAGGTGCTAAATAAATATCAGTCTTTCTTTAGTGAGTTATTTCCAGTAGGCTGCCTAAAAGACATCAAATTGGAATGTTATTAAATATACCTTGGAGAAAAGCATCTTGAAATTGTTGATTTGACTCAACCAACGGCCCACTTATTCCAGCTCCCCATGCAACCAAGGGTGTGAGGGTTTCCGAGGGGTGGCCTGCACCATGCGAACCTGTATCAGCAAACAAATTCAAAATTTACAAATTAATGTGATGCATCAAGACGCATTTTTTCAAACAGGTCTTGACAAAACGACAAAGACACAAAGGAAAATTTGCTCATATACATTTTCTCATACCACACAGATAGACACACACACACACACACACATCCATTTTCAAACCTATTTCTCCCATGCAGACCTTGTTCAGCTCTAAGAAAACAGGTCATTTTGTGGAGAAATATCCCTGGTGCCAGGTCAATTTTCATCTTGCTAACTTCTATTTATAAAACAGCAGCAGGACAAAAATTGGAAAGCCATCACTGAGGTTGCGCCTGCTGTGATTTTTAAGGCAGAGTTCAATCTGGGTAGTCAGTGCTCCCCCTGCAAAACTTGCAAGAACCTAATAAATAGGCAGAGGTCAATGGATGTTGGTGGAATGCCCAACACTATTTTTGTCAATTGCTCTATCAACACTACTTCCTGAACTCACTCCAAGCCAAGAGTTTGTACAGGTTCGAGGGCACCCACTGCCCTCATGTTTGTCAAGTGTTTGCCACTCCCAGAGGTTGTCAGCTACTGTTCAGTACAATTTATTTTGCCGGGAAGACCATAAGACATAAAAGCAGAAGTCGGCCATTCAGCCCATCAAGTCTGCTCCACAATTCAATGAGGTCATGACTGATTTGATAAACTTTAAGTCCACTTCTCTACCTGTTCCCATAAACCCGGATTTCTTTATGGATTAAAATCTGTCTATCAAAGCCTTGAATGTACTTAATGACCCAATATCAACAACCCTCTGTGGTAAAGAATTCCATAGATTCAAAACGCTCAGAGAAGAAATTCCTCCTTATGTCTGTCTTAAATGTGCAACCCCTTATTCTGAGATTATGTCCCCTTGTCCTAGACACTCCAACAAGGGGAAACAGTCTTTCTGCATCTACTCCGACAAATCCTCTAAGAATCTTATATTTCAATATAAAGATTCTTCTATATTCCAATGAGTCCAGGCCCAATCTACTCAAACTCTCCTCTTAAAACAATCCCTCATATCTGGTACAGCCTAGTGAACCTTCCCTGTTCTGTCTCCAATGCCAATCTATCTTTCCTTCATTATGGGGCCCAAAACTGTTCACAGTATTCTAGCTTTAGTCTGACTAGTAACATATATAATTTTAGAAAATCCTCCTGACATTTATTCTCTATTCCCTTTGAAATAAAGGCCACTATTCCATTTGCCTTCCCTATAATCTGCTGAACTTGGACACTAACTTTTTGTGATTCATGGACGAGGACCCTCAAATCCATCTGTTCTGTGGCTATCTGTTGCCTTTCTGCATTTAAATTATAATCATCTCCTCTGTTCTTCCTGCCAAAATGCATAAGCTCAATTTCCCCACAATATATTCCATCTGTTATGTTTCTGTGCACTTATTAACTTGTCTATATCCCTCCACAGTGATGGGTTTCTTGGATTCCTTTTTCCTGCTAGGAAGGATACTTTACCAGTTAGCATGATTGCCTTATACTTGAGGGTTTGAGCCTTGGCATCACAAATGCAGAGGATACATTGCCTCTGAGATCACTTTCAGAAAAATCCCAATAGATGCCTGCATCCAACAAGAAGACGACGAAATTTAGCTGGAAATGCACACTGTTATCACGTTCCAAATGAGCGCCACTCCACTTACCATCCCATTCTTTGTCCCTCTCTTAAGCCCTCATCAATCCATTCTCCCCCCTCCCCACTCCTAATCTTGCAGCAAATAGTGAGGGCTGGGAAAGGAGTGGTGAGCAGGAAGTGGTACAGATTCAGGAGAGAAACGGGCAGCAAATTAAAGGCACCAAGGGTTCAGGAGGCAGCTGACGGAGGTGGACGACAAGTGCAAGACAATGACATCTACAGTGAGAGAAACCAGAATTGTGCCAACAGATGGAGTGGGCTGCCAAATGGGCATAAGTAACTGTTCCTGTTCGTCAGCAGGAACTGGAGAGTTTCTTTTGCAAAGATTATTTGCCACTACCAGTAAAGGCATTGGTGCAGCACCATCTGATGGCAAATGTGATCTACTGCACTAAGAATTCAGACAAATAGCTGAACATCAGCAGATTACCGAGGGCATAACATTTGGTACTAAACCATGCAAAGTATCATGATTCCCATGCCACTTATAAATGCCATATCCTTGGAAAACCTGACACCATTCAATATTTTGTTAATTACATAATAGTTTATTAAATGCCAATGGACTATAATGTCAATATTCTTGTTCTTACCCCACTCTGTCATCCCATGATCAGAAGTATAGATGAAGGCAGTCTTCTTATCATTTCTGTAGAAGTCTTCAATGACAGACACAACTTCTTCAATACCTTTATCGACTATTCGGATATTTTCCTTGTACTCACTGAATAATAAATATTTGGAATCAGGTGTTAGAAAAGTAAATCCACACACTTCTGTAATTTACAGTGAAAAACAGCCTTTATAAAATGTCTTTCATGATCTCAGGATGTGCCAACTACTTCACTGCCAAGGAAGTAATTCTGAAGCATAATCACTGTTGTAGTGTAGGAAGCATGGCAGCCAGTCTGAGCACAGTAAGTTCTTTGAAATACCAATGACAAAGCCACCACATAATGTTTTATAACACTGAATCGGGAATAAACAATAGCCAGGACACAGGGACAACTTCTCTGCTTCTCTTCAAAATAGTGTCATGGGATCTTTTGCTTGCGAGGGCAGGTGAGACTACAGTTTAAAGTCCCAGCTGAAAGACAGCACCTCCGACAGCATAGCACTCCCTCAGCACTGCACTGGAGCGCTAGCTTAAAATTTATGTTTATATCCAAGATTGGCACTTCAACTCATAACCTTTTGACTCTGAAGGGAACACATTACCAACTGAGCCATAAACTACTGGTTTTTTTGCCAGCTCATTCAAGCTAATTAGAAAACAAAGAAAGTTACGAAAGTGGTGTAGTAGTCAACAGCCACAAGAACAACATGATATTCTGTATACTTTTGAACAGCAGTTTCTATTCATTCGGTTCAAATATCAAATACAGGAACTTGACAACATGGAGTGATGGACTACTGGCTTTTCAAACCTGATAACCCAAGCTTTGGATTGGAGTGTCAGCTATCCAAAGTGAAGTAAGTTAGAGCAATCTCAAACGAGTTTGCAGTCAATTATGTGATTAATTGAGAAATCCCTCAAAGACCAGAATATGACATGATGTCAAAGATGCACAGGTGAAAGCCACACTCACATTATAAAATAATTTCCAAATTCAGATATGCGAATGGTTTCGATGAATATAGTATGACCTGCGGGTGCACCTGACAACAATGTAAAGAACAAAAATGCAATCTTTCAATGATAAAGTACAATGGAAAATTAATGAGAGAAAATACCACACAAATCTTATCTACAGACATTCTAGAGAAAGAGTAACATCTCGAATATTTTTGATGACAAATGCTTTTTCATAGTCTACAAAACATAGACAAAAGTCCTTGTTTACTTAGAATCATAGAATTTTACAGTACAGAAGGGGGTCATTTCTGTACTGAGTCCTGAAAGAGCTACACAGCTAGTGCCATTTTCCAGCCCTATCTCCATAACCGTCTAAATTCATCACTTTCAAATATATATCCAGCTCTTTCAAAACCTCCTGTAAAGTCCGCCTCCACCACTCTCCCAAGCAGCACATTACAAATCCTAATAATTCTCTGAGCAAAGAAGTTCCTTCTCATCTCACGCCTAGCTCTTTTGCTGACAATCTCGAATCGTTATCCCTCGTCACTGACATACCAACAGATGGGAACAGAAGATCCGTCTTTACTTGTCAAAATTGCTCATAATTTTGTAAACCTCAGTAAAAAGTGATCTCTTAATCTTCTCTGCTCCAAGGAAAATAAGCCTAATTTCTCTAATCTTTCTGAGGAAGGGTCACCGGACCCGAAACGTTAACTCTGTTTTCTCCTCCACAGTTGCGGCCAGACCTGCTGAGCTTTTCCAGCAACTTTGTTTTTGTTCTCTAATCTTTCCTTGTACCTAAAATCCCTCATTCCTGGGATCATTCTAGTCAATCTCCTTTACACTGTCTCCAGAGTTTTAACATCCCTCCTTAAATAAGGTGCCCAGTTCTGAACACAAAACTCCAGTCATCATCTGACCAATGATTTGTAGAGGTGTAGCATCACTTCCTTGCTTTTATACGCTATACCTCTTTTATAAACCCAAGGATCCTATAAGCCTTCTTAACAACTGTTTCAATTTACCTGGCCACCTTACACTTTTAGATATTTATTGAAGATTGTTCTTACAAAATAAATGCTGACAACACAGCACTTTTCACAGAATCAGGAGGGCCCTACAAAATATCTCTCATGAACTCAAATCTAGAAGTTTAGAAAATGGATTGAGCATGAACACCAAAAAGATTCTTAAAATGTAGTGAGAAGGAACTAAAGGGAAGATTCCCAGAATGTTGATAGTGAGGAATTCAGATGGCAATGCCATTGACTATCAAGAGGAGATGGTTAGGTTTTAGACATGCTTGCCAAGCCGGTGGATTTGGTTGCAAATGTTCGTCACCCTGCTTGGTAACATTGTCAGTGTGCCTCCGGTAAAGGAGATCATTAGATTCTCTTTTATCAGGGATAAGTATTGCAGGGCACTTGTGTGGCACACTCATTACTTACCAAGTTTCTACTCAAGCCTGAAAGTTATCCAGGTCTTGTTGCATATGGATGTGAACTGCTTTAGTGTCTGAGGAGCCATGAATCATGCCAAACATTGCGCAATCACTAGCAAACATTCCTGCATGATGGAGGGAAGCTCACTGATGAAGCAGCTGAAAATGGTTGGGTCTAGGACACTATCCTAAGGAACTCCTGCAGCTATGTCCTGGAATTGAGATGACTGACCTCCAACAAACAACAATCAATGAGAAAAAGATGCTGTTACCATCGTATTCCAGCAATAAAAAAAAAATGAGATTCTCAATAACAAATCCCATAGGGAATTCAGGAGAAACTTCTTTACCAGAAGAATGGCTGCTTTAGAACCACAAGTACTTCCTTGGATGTTAACCACTTTGGGATATTGTGCAGTTATGAAAGGTGCATAAAAATGGATGTCTTTCTTTTTTCATCATTACGAACATTGAAAGAATACTGATTAATCCTTTTGGCACTACATTCCCTCAGTGGGAAACAAAAACTGGGGACTGCAAAGCACTTAAGATCCCAAAGAATTTAAAAATGATTTTCTCAAAATGCCTGTTCGACATATCAACCTGGTTATGAGTAGCTAAGTCCATTGTGTTCAAGAGGTGTTTTATTTCAGAAAGAGGAGGTAAGAAAGAAAGAAGGGTAATTTGAGTACAACCACATGAAAACCGTGACAAACAGCACAGTTTTTTACAGAAGTATTCCAATTAGTTGAGAAATGCTAACAATGTTGGATTTGACGTGTTGGATTGGCAGAGTGGATTGAAAGTTATCCTGCTTCTCAACAGACTGTTCACAATAAAGGTGATAAGCTCATGACATGATCATATTTGAGCAGCACACAAGACTTACCCTCAGTTAGCACCCAATTTTTGGGAGTAAAACATTTGCACACTGGTGGGCAATGGGTCAAAATCAGCCCATTTTATTCAGGGAACACTTAATAATTTCCAGTGACAAGATATGCCAATAAAATGCATTAAAAACCAGAGCAAACATATAATGGCATGTAGCACAACCTCACCACATTCATCACTCTGCAATTAAAAGGTAATCAAAGCCTAATAATGATAATTGCATTAAAAAATGGGATTCGTAAAATTTTACATTATGTCTAGTTTTACGCCAGAATGGGAGCTGAGATTCCATAGGTGACTTGCATAAGGGCACTGCCGTACTCACGGATTGCATGAGCTACATCAAGGCCGGACTGATGCCTTGTACCAAGTTTTAGATCGATTGCAAGCATCAGAAAAATGATGTTGAAATGAATTTCATCACAATGTTTTTTTGTTGCAGAATTTTACATGCTGCCAAAGAAAAGCTACTTGAAAATAGAATTGGTTTGAACTTGAACCATCTTCTCAAGCCAATGTAAACTAAAGATTATCAGGATACATTATCTTCCATCTATACATAGTACTAAACACTTCACTCTTCTATTTAGCAATGCTGTGCTGTAAATACTATGCATCAGGCTATTTGGCCCGAGAACTTCATGCCATGATTTATATTCCATGTGAGTTTCCACCAACCACTCTTCATCTAACCATCAACATATCCTTTCACCTCTTTCTTCCTTGTATGCCTATTAGATTCCCTTCACAATGCAGTAATACTATTTGTTGAAATGTCTTATGGCAGCAAGTTTCCCATTCTGATCATTGCTGGATAAAGAAGCTTCTGCTGAATTCTTGACTGGGTGTATTACAATTATGGCCTTGGTTTCTGGTTTCACCCCTAAGTGGTAACATTATTTGTACGTTTGTGCCATCAAACCCTTTCACAATTGTGAAAGCCTCCATTATGTTAGCCCTCAGTGTGTTCTAGAGATGAAGCCACATTTCACTGCACAACACCACCTTCTGGTCACGAAACATGTTAACTCCTCCTCCTCCCCCCCTCCTTGGGTGACATGCCCATCCTGGGCCTCCTCCACAATGACGCCACCCGCAAACTGGAGGAGCAGCACCTCATATTCTGCCTTGGGAGCCTATAGCCCGATAGCCGGAATGTGGATTTTACCAGTTTTAAAACCTCCCCACCCCCAGCCTCATCCTATGACCAACCCTCCCTCTCATCTCCGCCCCCTTGTCTGGACACCTGTCCATCTTCTCACCCTCCTATCTGTCACTTCCACCTCACTGACCAATCCTGACCACTGCTTACATGCACTCACCTATCACCATCCCACCTACCTTCCCCAGTCCCACCCTTCCTCTCTCTATTTATTTCTGAGCTCCCCTCCCCTTCCCCACTTCTGAAGAAGGGTCCTGACCCAAAACGTCAGCTTTCCTGCTCCTCTGATGCTGCCTGGCCTGCTGTGTTCATCCAGCTCCACACTTTGTTATCTCAGGACAACTTCTTGTTGCGCTTCACCAATTCACGTAAGCAGGCACCAGGATATAACACCTTATTCAAATACAGCGATCAAAGAAAGTCAACAGAATGTAATTATAGCACAAGTAATTTCATGCAATAATCATAGCTCAGCCACTTAATCCAAGTATTGTCTAAATTATGGTCACTAGACTTTCATCAAGGCAAATAGGTCATTCCTAAAGGTAGGTCAAAACTTGTTAGTATTTTCTACTGTCTTCTTGATGATACACCCTCCTACACCCAATTAGTCTCAGCTACAAACTTTTAAAACACTCCCAAGTCTCTCTCACTTTCACACTGAATGAAAAGGGGAAGAATTCATTCTTTTTACTCCCAATTCATTTCCTATTTACGGTGCTATGATGTTCATAATATCTCTCACCCCTATTTTAACTAACAACCTCCTAGGCGTAACCATACTAAATGCTTTCTTAAAATCCATCTCCAGCATCCTTTAGTCCTACTCCATTCATCCATCCATTCAATGACTGTCAAAAAAAATAAAAAATAGGCTTTTAGGTTGGCTAGACACATATTTCACAACATCAGGCAAGTTTTCCAAATATTCACTTCTAATGGATTTTTGCAGTTTTTCAACGGCTGATTTTAAATTCACCAGCATACAGTCCTTAATTTGTCTGATAATTGGTTTTGAACAATAATTTAACATTTTCTGCCTTTCAACCAGGCAATCTGAAGCTAGCAAACCTTGAGAGATGGAAAAAGGTACAACTCAAACTGCAGAAAAATGATATAAAAATTAAGAAGTACAAGAGAGAATCACCTTGACATTGGCCTGTGAGCATGCCCATTGGTGTCCAGCCCAAGTAAATGCAGGAAATAAACAACTTGATTTTGTCTCATTTTCTTTGACAGCAGTTCATTCTTTTTGGCAAATTCAAAAAACTCCTATTGGAAAACAAAAGAAAAGACATTAGGATACTGGGAAATAACGATCAATTTACATAGCCAGGTACAGTAATGTTCCTTCTATTATCACCCCACATCATGTCTCATCCTCCCATGTCTTCTTTCATTAACTTGCATTTGTATAGTACCTTAAATGTTATCAACCATCCCACAGCATTTCACAGGAGGGCTGTCAAATGTAATCTGATACTGAGCTATATGACAAGATATTAAGGAAGATGGCTAAAAGCCTGATGAAAGGGGTAGGTTTTAAAGGACACTTTGAAGGTAGAGTGAGTGGTAGGGAGCAGAGACATTTATGGAGGGAGTTCCAAAGCTTAGGGCCTCAACAACTAATGGTGGAATAATGAAAACTGGGAACAGACAAGAGGCCAGAATTAGAGGAGCATCAAATTAAAAAGGGGACAGCAAGTATCTTCTGAAAGAAAGTCAGCTTTTTCCAATTCCTACTGGTAAACATCTAAACAGGTGAAACACATTCCTGATACCTTGACTTCATTGAAAACCCAGGTGTCCAGCTTTGAAGGATCCTGAGCAGCAAAGTCCTCCTTCTCAGCTGGGTACATGTGCGTATAGATGTGATCACCGCTGGCACCTGCAGCATACAAGAATGTTGATAACTTAAACCAGGATGATTAAATAATGAAAAGTAGATACTTTGTACACAGGAGTTTGTACACCCTGATCAAACAAACACATGAAATAGTAACAGGAGTAGGCCACTTGGCCCCTGGAGACCGCTCCGTGTTTCAATAAGAAAAGCAGCACAGAGCCATGCGCTCTTTTAACAAAAATTCTGACAGATAGTTCAATTGAAGTTCTAACTGAAAAACGAACCATGTTGTTTTGGACCTTAGTAAAGCAGTATATATAGTTTTCTGCATTTCCACTAATATGCATTCCCAGATTTTATGACATAGGGGAATTATTTTCTACAATTCCACTAAGGCACCACACATACCCAACATCCCTCCCCAGAATGGAGGGAAAAGGTTCTCAGAAATGATGTGTTGTTTTCTATTTTAAAAATCTAGATCAGAAATACGCAGGCATCAAATCTATAGTTTCACACGGTGCGATGACAGATCAGGTCATTAAAAAGTAGGAACAGAAATCAGCCAAAGTTGACACAAGCAAGTTGAAACATGCTGTGCTGCATCATTTTAGAATTCTATGTTAGAGAAGGGCAGTGAAAGTGTCTTTGAAAGACAATGATAGTCCTCCTAACGAACAACTGCTTCAAGTCATGGACCGATTTGCTCACAAACACCCCAAAAATTGATATCCAATAATATTTATTATCACTCCACCATAATGACAGGTCAGTACTGGAGCCATGACAATAGGTTGTTCTCCAAATATAATTTTAGAAAAAAAGAACTTTGAACGTCAGAGGCAGTTTAATGGTAAATCCCCCACCACAATAGGAAACTGTATACATAATTGTGGAGCACATGTCCTATATACATTCTTGCTTGTTTTCTTGAATTTTATAACTGTTCAAAAGTAAACCACAGTGAATACACTGGAGTAGAAACTTGATCTCTTTTTAAATGTTTTTCCTTTTTTTAAAATATTCTTCCCATTTTCAAATCTCTCCATGGTCTCACCTCTCCCTGCCTGTGTAACCTCCTTCAGCCCAGCAACCCATCAAGATGTCAGTGCTGCTCCATTTCCTATTTTCACTGCTCCTTTAATGGTGGCCATGCCTTCATTTGCTTGGGCCTGAAGCTCTGTAATGCCTCCCTAAATTTTTCTACTCACTGCCTCAAATCTCCACTGGACATTCCTTACAGCCTAGCTCTTCACCAAACCTTGTATTTTAAAAATTGTTATTTTTGAGGGCTTATGTTGCAGCAACAAGACCAGTGTGCCTTACCTTTCGCAAACATTGGTAAAATGTCAGGACTTCCCCAGCACCAGGTGTATTTGCTCTCATTAAAAACAGAATCAAATTCCACTGGGTTTTCTTTCCAACCTGCATAAATTATAAGATTAAAGGCAAGAAATTGTATCTACTTAATTAATAAATTACACCAACTTCTGAAATTCTGCCAACTTCTGACATTACTGCAAGACCTCGCTGGGTGGTGCCTGAGTTCAACCATTTTCAAATACTTTATCAATTACTTTCCCGCCAATAATAACACCACATGATGAAGGAGCAAAAGTAGGCCACTGAGCCCAACAAGTATGTTCTGCCATTCAAAGGATGCATGGCTGATGTGTTAATTTTGATTTACTGGGTTTTCCTCATAACCCTTGACTCCCTTACAGATTAAAAAAACTGCCTCTCAACTTTGAATATAGTTAATGACACAGTCTCTACAGCCCTCTGCAGTAAAGAATTCCACAGACTGACTAGCCTCAGAGAAGAAATTCCTCCTCATTGTCTTAAATGGGTGAATTCTTACTCCAGTCCTAGACTTCCTTCAAAGGAAAACAACCTCCCCACATTTACCCTGTCAAGACCCCTAAGGTGGGAAATGGAAGTGTTTGCTGATGAATGCAGTATCCAGTATCACTCAATTCCACAGATACTCAAACAGCCGGTGTCTATAAGACCTGGAGAACCTTTGAGCTGGGACTGCTGAATGGCATGTAATATTTGTATTTAAAAGAAGTGTCAGGCTGTAATCATCTTCAAGAAGAAAAAACCCCTAACTATACCTCAATGATGTTCAATGGCATTACCATCATTCAATCCTGCTATCAACATCAATGAGTTACCATTCGCTAGCTATACAAATACTGTGACAATAGGAACAGGCTGGGAATTTAACACACCCTAAAGCCTGTCCACCATCAACAAGGAACAAGTCAGAGCATGAAGAAATAGAACTCATCCAGTTTTGCCTGGATGGCTACAACTCCAACAAAGTTCAAGAAAGGTGGAACTATCATGACAAAGCAGCCCCTGGGTGGCACCCTGTCCATCACATTCAAACTATACAAGAGACAGTAGGAACCGCAGATGCTGGAGAATCCAAGACAACAAGGTGCAGAGCTGGATGAACACAGCAGGCCAAGCAGCATCATAGGAGCAGAAAGGCT